CTTATGACTCAAGTGGTGGGGAAGAACAAAGTAGCTTCGTCCCACAACGCCAGATCACAGATAATATTGTTGTTTACCAAGAGCTCCTACATACTATGAGAACCAAGAGAAGTGGGCTTAAAGCAATGACCCTAAAGATTGACCTAGAGAAAGCTTATGATCGCATATCTTGGGACTTCCTTCAGGACACGTTATATGGGCTGGGAATGGAAAGACACTGGGTTAATATAATCATGGAGTGTGTCACAACACCGAAACTGGCGATTCTATGGAAGGGCTCTCAATTGGATTGGATTACACCAACAAGAGGCCTTAGATAGGGAGATCCCATATCCCCGTATCTGTTTGTTCTTTGTATGGAACGGCTTAGCCGGCTAATTAAAGAGGAAGTGCACAAAAAAAATTGGAAAGGTGTCAAACTGTCAAGGTATGGTCCCGAACTAACACATCTTTTTTTTGCTGACGATATGGTGTTGATTGCAGAGGCTTCGTTAGAACAAATGAAGGTGATAAAGGGTTGTCTCCAAAAGTTTGAAAAAGCCTCAGGACAAAAAGTTAGTATACAAAAATCTCAAATTCACTTTGGGAGAAATGTTGAACCTGCTTTGGCACAAGACATTACCCGAGAGGCGGATTTTGTATGTACAAAGGACCTTGGCAGATATTTAGGTGTACCATCAATTCATGGGAGAGTCACGAGCAACATCTTCACACCCTTAATCGAAAAAATCGACGGGAGGTTGGAAGGATGGAAAGGCAAAAACCTATCTTTGGCAGGCCGTATTACCCTTGCACAAAGTGTTCTGAATGCAATGCCTTACTACATGATGCAATCCACGTACTTACCAAAAGGTGTTTGCGACACTATTGAAAGGAGAATCAGACAATTTATTTGGAAGGAAAACATTCACTTGGTAAACTGGGAAACCATAACGAAGCCGAAGGAACAAGGAGGCGTGGGGCTACGACGGTTGAGAGAAATGAATTTAGCTTTCCTTACGAAGCTAGGTTAGAGATTGCATACAGAAAAAGAGAACCTTTGGGCAAAGGTTGTCTTGGCCAAATACATGCATGGTACATCCGAAGACTGCAATTACACAAAAAAGAAGGCGTGCTCTAATCTTTGGCGAGGGATTTGTGAGGCGCAACCCATTCTGTCAGAAGGAACAAGCCGTCAGACACAGATGGAAGGTATGTTCTGGAAGTTGGAGCCGAATGGTCACTGCTCGGTCACTTCGGCTTATCGACTCGCGCTAAAAACTGATAAAGGGGATGATGACAATACTTGGAAGGTAATCTGGAGCCTGAAGGTGCCAAAAAGAATCAACAGCTTTCTTTGGCTCCTTAGACACAAGAAACTGATGACTAATGTGGAACGCAAACGCCGAGGCTTCACTACTGACGCAAGGTGTATCAACTGCCATGCGTACGAGGAAGATGTTCTCCATTGTCTACGAGACTGCGCAGCAGCAAAGGAAATATGGGAAGTATTCTTACCTTCTGGGGCTCAAAGGTGGTTCTTCCGCTTAAATGTTGATACTTGGTTTACTCGTAATGTAACAGGTAAGCTTGTTGAAGACAAAGAAGGAAATTGGAAATCCATGTTCGCAATAATAGCCTGGTGGATTTGGAAGTGGCGGTGCAAAAAAAACCTTTAACGAAGAAAGCTGGAGCTTAACAAGGAGGATTGATTGGATAAAGGAGCAGGTGGAGAGCACTACGAGAGCCTTCCTACGTCAAAAACTCCACATCAGGACAAAGATGGATGTTGCTGGCAACAGACCGATTACACAAGCGTGGACTCTGTTGAATACTGACGCCTCTTTCTCACCCGGAAGCTCCATGACTGGTTGTGGAGGAGTGTTGCGAGACCATGGAGGACATTGGATCAAGGGGTTCAGTTGTATGATGAAGACAAGTAATTCAACAGAAGCTGAGCTATATGGGCGATTTACTTGGGCCTCAAATGGACCTGGGACCAGGGGATAAGGATTATCTACTTAAGAACCGATTCACAACAAGCGGTGACTTGGTTAAATGGACACTCAAATATCCTGGGTCATTGCGACACGCTAGTTAAATGGTGTAAGGAATGGTTACGAAAGGATTGGACAGTCATCATCGACTATGTCCCCCGTGAGAAAAATGGCGTTGCGGATTGGTTGGCTAAGGAAGCTCCGAGACGAAAATGTGAGTGGGTGGACTTCCACTGCCCACCGAGGGAAGTTGGTGATATGATGAGCATGGATACTGTGTCTCATGTGCTGGGCCACTAGGTGTTAGATTAGCAGGGTTACCCCCTCCCTTTTCATCCCAAAAAAAAAAAAAAACTTAAGTAGTTAACTACTTCAGTAGTTAGACACTTAACAGTCGAGACCTTGTGGTCTAATGGCATCAAATGATCAAAGTTGAATTCTTAGATGAGAGGTTAGGGGTTTGAGTCTCAGTAGAGGTGGTATAACTTATGTGCTAAGTCATAGAGGCGTTTACCAAAACTTACTGGAGTTGATGTGTATAATTGCACTTTTTTAAAGTTCATGGGCCTAATTGATTTATCAATCATGTTCTGTGGACCATATTTTGTCTACTGTAAAATAATGTACATTCAGTACAAAAATAATGTACATTCAGTATAATAAAAATGTATTTTTTTGTTATGGTCCATACAATAATTTTCCTTGATTCATCGTGTAATGTTTAAATGCCTATTTGACTATTTTTCATATATTTTATATCTAAGTTTGTCACAAACGGTCAACACTAACAAATGGACCTAGTCATTGTTATAGTAATTTATAAAGGTAAATGTTACACACTCCAAAATTACTACTTCCTATTAGTTATTTATAAATTTATTATCATGAATTACTAATGAATTAAAAAAAAAATCCCGATACTATCTTGTAAAAAATAATGAGTATTTAAAAAAAGAAATCATACTCATAAAAAATATTGTGGTCAAACAACATAATTATGACTCTTTCAAATGAAATTCAATCTCTAATAGGAGAAAGTATGTATGTGCTCAATCCATTAATTATTAGTGTGCTTATTTTTAGCAAAATTTTAGTCTTATTTTAAATTAAATTTTTACATTAATAATCCCCCTTCATTAGTACTTTATGTATATACATAATGTACTTTATGTATATAAATAATTTACATTTAGTATATTAAAAATAAAAATATATATTTTATTTATAGTTTACAAAAATTTATAGACCATAATCTATAGAATAATGATGAGAAGTAATGACCCAAGGCCTTTTTATTTTTTATAGTCATAAACATATACACTGCCCCAAATTATATAAAAAAGTCAATCGTTATGCGTTGGACCCGTGTCCAGCATGCTTGCTGGACACGGGTAACAGTGCCGTTAGGCACTGTTATCTCCTTTTTTTTTTTTTTTTTTTTTTTTTTTTTTTTTTTTTTTTTAATTTCAGACCGCTTCGTTATAGGAATATATGTTCATAATTTTATTACTATATTATTAATAACTGTACATTCATAACTCCATAACTGTACGTTCATAACTCTATAACTGTACATTCATAACTCCATAACTGTACATTCATAACTCCATAACTGTACATTCATAACTCCATAATTGTACATTCATAATTTTCGAAGCTCTATGTTCACAATTTTAGAGCTCTATATTCATAATTTTATCACTATATGTAAATAATGTTAGAGCTCTTTGTTCATAATTCAATCAATAACTGTACATTCATAATTCCATAACTGTAGATTCATAATCTCATAACTGTAGATTCATAACTCCATAACTGTAGATTCATAACTCCATAACTGTACATTCATAACTCCATAACTGTACATTCATAATCTTCGAAGCTCTATATTCACAATTTTAAAGCTCCATGATCATAATTTTATCACTATATATGTTCATAATTGTAAGTTCATAATGTTAAAGCTCTGTGTTCATAATTTCATAATTGCATAACTGTACATTCATAACGGCATAACTGTACATTCATAATCCAAAAAAAAAAACACCGTTAACGACAAAACGCGCGCATTTTTTTTTTTTTAAAACTAAATAACGCATTTTTTTAAAAAACGACATCGTTTTGGGCTCGTGTCCACAATAAATTGTGGACACGAGTCCAGGGCATAATTTGCCTAAAAAAGTGACCTAATTAATTATCCATGGACATTTCTTGTGCTAAGCCCAATTTATTACCCATCGGCCCACGTATAAATATCCAAAGCCTAACCCTTGTTCGGACTTCGGACAGGCAGACCACACTGTACGCTCTCATCTCTCTCTAAACTATCTAAAATCTCCTCCGATTCCTTCCCTTCGCCGGCTTTAAATTTCAAAATCTCCGACGAATTAAAATTTTATAAAAATCTCCAACGGATTAAAATTTCAAGAAAATCTCCCAACGGATTAAAATTTGTATGAAAATCTCCAACGGATTTAATTTGTAAGAAAATCTTCAACGGATTTAATTTTTAAGTCGGCGCCGAAGATCGTACTCGGCTATTTATTTTGGTTTTCCTATTCCCGATTGCTCTGCCTCGGCTATAGAGGAGGCCAGAGAAGGGAAGCAGAGGAGGGGCGCCATTCATGGATTCGGAAGAATTGGAAGGAACTTCTTGAGGTGCTGGCATGGAAGGAAGTATTCTCCCCTTGATGTCGTTGCCATCAATGGCACCGGAGGTGTCAAGCAGGCCTCACACTTTCTCAAATACGACTCCCCCCTTGGCATCTTCGACGCCGACGTCAAGCCCGTCGGCGACAATGCCATCTCCGTCGACGGCAATATCGTATCCAGCCGCAATCCCATCAACATCCCGGAAAGGTAATATTTAATCATATTTTATTATTTTAAATTTCTACGCAGTGTTTTGGTTGGTGATCTTTTATCTGCTTTGCAGGTGACGTACTTCATCTTATGTTTCTTTTTTTGTTTCTTTTCTTTGGTTTTAACTTTCAAAATCTAATATTGTGGTGATATGCGCAACAGGCTTCAGATATTGGAATTGGTGAGGCTATTTTGACCGCTTTGAAAGGAGTGATCAAACATGCTGCCAAAAGTGTGAGTAGTACTTCTAGAACACTTGTAGTTACATAGTTTCTCTCTATCATTCAAATAAAAAAAAGTACTCTGTGTTTGTGGCCTTCTTTTCCTGTGAAATTACTTCTAAATTTGTTTCTTATTGACAGATTGTTTCTTTACTATAACCCTTCATTTACGCACGCTGAACATACTGCAAAAGCTTGGTGTTGCTACAGAGATCTTCAATCTTTGGTTCCATATGCTACAACAAACTAAAAAAAGTGGAGCTCGGGCTAATTCTAAAAGGTAGCAATATGTTGGTCTTGTAGTTCTTGTGGAGAGATGTAAAAGGCATAAGAAAAACAAAGCTAAGAGAAGTGGTGGTTTCTAATTCTTGCCATGTTGGTATTGCAGGGAGCATGAGAAGAAGGTTTGCTGCTTGGGCTTGACATCATTGCTGAGTCTTCCTGCTGATCAAATGCCTGCAGCTGCCTTTGAGGGAATTTTTTTAAGGCCATTCTTGACCTCCTTGTATGCAAGCAAGGAGCAACTTGCTGGTAAGTAACCATTTTATTTTATTTTTTTTATTCTATGTTTTTCCCATACTGGTTTTTCTATTTGTTTCATTTGCACTTTAGATGGTATATTCTGATTATTCTCTTAATGTTTGATATCATTTTCTACCTTCTATATCTTCAGAAGCTGCAAAGGGAGAGGAAGCTGAGGATGAGGTTGAGATGGATGGATTTCGAAGTGATGACGATGACGATGAGTCTGATAGAGAAATGGCAGATGATGACGAGGATGGAGATGAAGCTGACAGCCTAAAGCTCCAAAAGTTGGCAGCAAAGGTAACAGAATTAAGAGACAAATTGTATCATACCCGTCTAAGCATCTTGTTCCTGCTTGTTTTCTGTTCATTTCCTTTGTGAAATTAACATCCATCTCTATATGCTGTAACTTTGTGGTTTTTAGGCGAGTGCTTTCCGCTCCAATGATGACGAGGATGACTCATCTGATGATGATTTTTGTGATGATGAAGAGTTGCAATCAGCCATTGATGAGGCGGATCCTTTTGTTTTCTTTGTTGATTCTGTCAAAGGTATGCCTGCCTATTTCATCCTTTTGGGTTAATTAGTTTTTGCTATACTGTGTGATAAAATGTTTTGACCTTGTCCTTTGCTGAAAAACTAAAACCGCAGCAGGTTTCCTTTTATTTGGTTCAAGTACTATTAATAGGTATATGATTTCAAGTGTGCTCTTTAGTTTAAAAAGGATTTTCAAGTGTTCTTTTTAGTTTAAAAATGATTTTTCAAGTGTACTCTTTAGTTTAAAAATCATTTTCAAATGTGCTCTAGTTTAAAAATAATTTTCAATTGTGCTCTTTAGTTTAAAAATAATTTTCAAGTGTGCTCTTTAGTTTAAAAATGATTGTATATCCGTGATGCTGGTTTTTGTGAGGACAATATTGGTGCTGGTTGGATCGACAGACAAGGGATGGCATTGGCTTTACATTCTGTGGCTGATGTGCTTGGAACCAAAGATCTTCCTGTTGTTATGACTATCCTAATATCACGAACGCTGGTAATCTTTTATTTTGTTGTTATATACAAGGTTTACATGTTTGCTATGGAGTTGGCATCTTAATGTGCTCCTCCCTGTTTAACGGGCTATGTATTATAATTACATGATTTAAGCTTGTTCTTTATGCTTACCCCGTTCTCCCTCTCTCTCTCTCTCTCTCTCTCTCTCTCTCTCTCTCTTTGAAATACTATGAGAAATGTGGTTGATTCATTTAAGTTTATATAGGTGTCAATATTCTTTTGTAGGCTTACTTCATTTATTTTTTGCCCTAAAAAGAATCTCTTCATTTGTATACCAAATTTTCTAATATTTAATAATTATAGCAAAGAAATTCTTCCAAGAATTATTATATGTAAGGAACTAAGTATAATCTATTAATTATACATAAAGATTGTTTTTATTATTGCTGTTGTCGTTTTTGGAATCTGTTTCGCCTTATTACAAGCATTGGTAACAAGTATTAAGAATGCAAGATTGTTGAGCTTTGATTGCATGGTTATGTGAATTTCCTTTATTATCTCCAGGGTCTTATAATTGGATCTGCTGAATTAAGAGAGAAAGCAGCTTTGGGCCGTGGAGGGTTAAGTGAAGTGACAAGTGAGCAAGCATTAAAGGAGTTTTTCATTCCAATCACAGGGTATGAGCTGTTACTACAGTTCTACACATTGCTAGTTTTGACCAGAGACTATTAAAAGGATTGCAACCAACAAAATAAGCTATACGTAGACATTACGTTGCCTATTTATGGTATGCAGTTGCCTATTTATGGTATGCAGTGAACTATGCCCTTTATTAGTGCATCAACTATAAAACAGTCCTTTAATTGTCAGAACTTTTGGCTCACCAGTGTAAGGCCATTCTAGATTGCTTTTTCATGAATTGTTATTTGGTGTAGGCCGTTGATCCGTATAATAGGGGACAGACGGACAGGTTCCCATGGCAAGTTAAAAGTGCAATTCTCTGAGCATCATAATACAGAAGGGTGGGTTGGCCCTAAAGCCTTTTCTTCCCCAGCTTCAAACAACATTTGATAAGTGTTTCCAGGATAATACAAGGTTAGTTTTTAATTCTTATGGTTTTTTGGTTCTTTTTTAGACTCGTTATTTTGTTAGGTTCGGTACTACGATGTATATTCCTAGCTCATGCTATGCAAGTTGTTTGCAGGACTGTTCGATCAAGTGCTGCTCTTGCCCTTGGTAAACTAAGTGCACTCACAACTAGGATTGATCCTTTGGTTTTGGTGATCTTTTATCTGCTTTACAGGTGGCATACTTCATCTTGTGTTTTTTTTCTTCTCTTTTCTTTGGTTTTAACCTTCATAATCTAATATTGTGGTGATATGGGCAGCAGTATTCATATGTTGGAATTCATGATGCTATTTTGACTGCTTTGAAAGGAGTGATTAAACATGCTGGCAAAAGTGTGAGCAGTGCTTCTAGAACACGTCTAGTAACGTAGTTTCTTTCATTAAAAATAAAAATACTAGGTGGTTCGTGGTTGTATTTTTTTAAAGAAGAAATACTTTTTATTTCTTTCATTAAAAATAAAAATACTAGGTGGTTCGTGGTTGTATTTTTTTTTTTTTTTATTTTTTAAAGAAGAAAGGAATTACTTCAAAATAATATACTGTTCCAGACGGCGGGCAAAACAGAAAAGCTTCTCTTTTTCGCTAAATGCCAGACTGAATCAACCCAGTCTTGTCTCTTGGATCCAGTGGTTCTATCAAAATGGTAATTTCAAGCAGTGCCATTTGGGTGTTCTCTCGATTCATTTTTCTGGCGAATTGATTGATGGTTTGGTTTGGGCTTGAAGTGGGCAGATTTGATTCATTCTGCTTAAAAACTGGCAAGGATAGACTCGTTTGGCCAAGTATTACACCCCCCTCGAGGAATCCGAGAAGCACAAAGTCGAAAACATGTTCTTGCTATGATATCTTGATACATTTGTGTCATTAACGCTGAGTTTTAAGATTCGATCTGGTTCTGGAGGTTCAGCGGTTGTTCGTGAATAGAGACCCCAAATTCACCAACTTTGTGGAGCTGAGAGTGTTAGAACTTTTTTTTTTCACAAATCGTTCTATTGCCTCATGTGAAACTTTTCATGCAATGATAAGATCTGTGCTGTGTTTTCTATTCCTTTCAAAGTTAAGAGGCCATTGATTCCTTAAACTGTACTGCCAAAGATGCTCTGATTGAATACTGACTCTGTTGATTGTGGTTAAGAGCGGAATGTGAAGGAAATAGTTAATTGTTTCTCACCTGCTAGTTCTCTTCCACAGTTCTACTAACTAATCGAAGAAGGAGATGAGATAAAATATACTGTTAATCCCCGAGGGTGTCGTTTTGAAGACACTTTTACAGACTATGAGAGTGAATTCTTTGGTCCTGCGGGATTGTAATGGCTTGTAGTTGATGTTTTACTTGTCAGTTCCGAGAACACAAGATAATCTACATGCGGTATGCTGGGCTATTTTTCTCGCTCTGTGTTGATATGACGGACAACGAGTTGGCTTATTTGGAGTGCATTCACTTGTTTGTGGAGATACTGGATCACTTCTTTAGTAATGTCTGCGAGTTAGATTTGGTTTTTAACTTTCACAAGGTATGATTTGTCAGTCTTTCTCATTGTGAATCTCTGTATTTTGTTTTACTTCTAGTGTATTTACCTTGTGTATGCTGCATTGTTTTCCTATGAAGGTATATCTAATCTTAGATGAATTCGTTCTTGCTGGGGAGCTCCAAGAAACAAGTAAGAAGGTGAGAGTAATCGCAAGAAGAAGGATTTTTCTCGCGCCTTATCCTTGTTCTGGTGAAATGTACTTTGCATAGCTTTTGCAGAAAAAAATGGATGTTTGATTTCTTCTGGAACTGCAGGCTATCATAGAGAGGTTGAATGAATTGGAGAAGTTAGAGTAAAGATTGATGATCTATAATGGCCAACCTTCATCCATATTCCAAAGTATGCACCTTTTTCATTTGCTCCCCTTTGATCTTTCTGAACATTTAGGATTATGCCTGCTTCTGTTTGAGACTTTGAATCTCTAGAATTTCTTTCGATTTTACGCGTAAAGAAGATGGATTGAGTGTTCATGTCATAGGATTGAAGAAGACATTGTGATTGCTGGGTCATTTCCTCCCCCTATTCATGATTCAGTTTGCTTCTGAACTTTAGATAGAGAGTGTTTTCATGTGAGAGTGCTTTATATCCAGTGCCTTCTCAATGCACATGCTTTGGGAGCTTTAGCAGAGGTTGCTGGACCTGGTCTTGATGCCCACCTTGGTACCATCCTTCATGCTTTACTCACTGCAATGGGCTATACTGATATGGTAGGAACCTAATTTTTATGCCATTTACTTGGTTTCGTCTTTCACATCATTTAAATTTGAGTCATTGCTTAAGTTGATTTGTGTTTTTTTTTCATTGCATAATTTGCATGTGTCATGCTTTCACCATGAAAATATCGGAGGTTCAAAGTCTCGCCAAGAAAGCAGCAGAAACTGTTGTCACTGTAATTGAAGAGGAAGGTATCAAGTCTTCGCTGTCGGGGCTTCTCAAAGGAGTTGGAGATATTCAGGCATGATTTATTGTTTTGAATAATGATAATGTGACTTTCTTTTCTTTGTTTTGCATTTTTTAGCTAACACTATTTAAGTTTTATTCTTTTCAGGATTTAGTCAGACAAAGTTCTGCGTACTTTATTGGATATTTATTCAAAACCAGTGATCTATATCTTGTTGTTGAGGCTCCAAATGTGATATCCACCCTGATTATTTTACTAAGTGATTCAGATTCAGCTACCGTGACGGTTATTTTGATTCATTGTATGACATTTCTACAATGCACTTCAATGTACTAGTTTATCTTACCATGCTCTTTTACAGGTTGCTTAGGAAGCATTGTCTAGTGTGATAAGTTCAGTTCCTGAAGAAGTTCTTCCTTCATATATAAAGTTGGTTCGTGATGTATAGAAACATGCCGGGAGGACCAGTTCTAATACCTGGTTTTTGCCTCTGGAAAGCTCTTCAACCTGTGCTTCCTGTTTTCCTCCAGGTATTCCTGCTTATCTTTTGTTTGTGAACTTAATGTTTACATTGAAAGAATCTCTTCATTTGTATACCAAATTTTCTAATATTTAGTAATTATCGCAGAGAAATCCTTCCAAGAATTATTATATGTAAGAAACTAAGTATAATCTATTAATCATACATAAAGATTGTTTTTATTATTGCTGTTGTCGTTTTTGGAATCTGTTTCACATTATTACAAGCATTGGCCACAAGTATTAAGAATGCAACATTGTTGAGCTTTGATTGCATGGTTATGTGAATTTCCTTTATTATCTGTAGGGTCTTACAAGTGGATCTGCTGAATTAAGAAAGCAAGCCGCTTTGGGCCTTGGAGAGTTAATTGAAGTGACAAGTGAGCAAGCATTAAAGGAGTTTGTCATTCCAATCACAGGGTATGAGCTGTTACTATAGTTCTACACATTGCTAGTTTTGACTATGAGACTATTAAAGGGATTGCAACCAACAAAATAAGCTACACGTGGTCATTACGTTGCCTATTTATGGTATGCAGTGAACTATTCCCTTTATTAGTGTGTCAACTATCAAACAGTCCTCTACTTGTCTGAACCTTTAGGTCACCAGTGTAACGCCATTCTAGATTGCTTGTTCATGAATTGTTATTTGGTGTACGCCGTTGATTCGTATAAATAGGGGACAGATTCCCATGGCAAGTTAAAAGTTCAATTCTCTCAACTTTGAGCATCATAATATGGATGGGTGGGTTGGCCCTAAAGCCTTTTCTTCCCCAACTTCAAACAACATTTGTTAAGTGTTTGCAGGATATTACAAGTGTAGCTTTTAATACTTATGGTTTTTCAGTTCTTTTTGAGACTCGTTTATTCTGTTATGTTATGTAGTTGTTTGCAGGACTGTTCGATCAAGTGCTGCTATTGCCCTTGGTAAACTTAGTGCACTCACAATTTGGATTGATCCTTTGGTTGGTGATCTTTTATCTGCTTTACAGGTGACATACTTCATCTTATGTTTTTTTTTTCTTCTCTTTTCTTTGGTTTTATCCTTCAAAATCCAATATTGTGGTGATATGGGCAGCAGGCTTCAGATGTTGGAATTCGTGAGGCTATTTTGATTGCTTTCAAAGGAGTGATAAAACATGCTGGCAAAAGTGTGAGCAGTGCTTCTAGAACACGTGTAGTAACATAGTTTCTCTCTATCATTCAAAAAAAAAAAAATTGGTGGTCTAAATTTTTTTTTAAAATGAAAATAAATACTACAAAATAATATACTGTTCCGGACAGCGGGGAAAACAGAAAAGCTTCTCTTTTTTCTCTGATCGCTGGACTGAATCAACCCAGTCTTGTCTCTTGGGTCCAGTGGTTTCTATCAAAATGGTAATTTCAAGCATTGCCATTTGGGTGTTCTCTCGAATAAGTTTTCTGGGAAATTGGTTGATGGTTTTGTTTGGGCTTGAAATCGGCAGATTCGATTCATTGTGCTTCAAAACTGGTAAGGAAAGACTCGCTTGGCCAAGTATTACACCCCCATTGAGGTATTGTGTTCACCAACATTGCAGGAATCCACAGGTTGATTTGCAAGCTCAGGATTGTGCTCATAGGATTGATCAGAAGAAGGAATTTCAAGGGTTCCGTTTTTGCACCGAGGTTTATTCAGTTTTATCTTTAATTTTTTTAACACAGCATGGACATAAATTAATATTCATAAATTATAATTCAATGTGCAGATACTATTGAGGAAAAGATGATTGAAAGAGCTTTTAAGACGCTTGCACTTGATGCTTTGGTTATCCAGCAAGGAAGGCTGGCAGAGCAAAAAGGTAAGGTTTCTCATGGTTTTGCCATTTTTGATATATAGCTGCAATCTGTAATAACTAATTTCTGAACAATTAGGTTTGTCATGCTTTGGTTATCCAGCAAGGAAGGCTGGCAGAGTAAATAGGTAAGATTTCTCATGGTTTTGCCATTTTTGATATATAGCTGTAATCTGTAATAACTAATTTCTGAATATATCGTGTGCCAGCTAAATTTGTAAAATATTTGCCCAAGTGCTCTATTAATTTGGGAATTTGCTGACCAAGCTTTTCAACAGGAGGGGTCCTGCAATTTATGTGAACATTTTCTCTGGTGAAGCAACTGCAGAATTTCCTTCTGCATTGGAAACAGCAAGAGGGGTAGTGAATTTTATTTGTTAACTCTTTTTTTTCTTTAACTCCAATTTAATATCTTGATGTCCTGGTTTTTCTCTTGTTGTTGTATATATTAATTTCTCTGCGAAAGGTGGTTTCTGCAGATCTTTGCAGATGCTATGGGCCTGGGGAAACTGTAAGTAATCCAGCCTTTTCCAGATAGTATCAATGTTTTTCCCATGAGCTTGAAAGTGTATTTATTCTGTTCAGTTGGATCTATGCGCATTAGCCAGTTTTGAACTGTCATTTAGGATGTGGAGAGTAGCATATTCCATGAAGTTGATTGGCATCGAATTGTACTGGATGAAGCACACACCATAAAATCCTGGAGAACTATGAGTGCTAGGGCTGCATTCACATTGTCTGCACATTGCAGGTGGTGTCTCACTGGTACTCCACTTCAGGTATGTTTCCTCATCAAAGTCCCCATTTATCATATTTCCTAAAAAGATGAGGCTTTCATAGGACCGTCTCATTTGAGAATGTGATACTTTTTAGACTGTTCTCGAAATCTGGTTTATGTTAATGATGTCCTCACTAATTGCTGCAGAATAATTTGCCAGATCTTTACAGCCTTCTGTGTTTCTTGCATGTTGAGCCATGGTGCAATTGGGCATGGTATGTCTTATATATTACTAACTGTATATATACATGCTAATAAGTTTAACTGAACTAGATTATTTAAATGTTTGCTATCTTTTAGGTGGAATAAGTTAATACAGAGACCTTATGAGAATGGTGATCAGAGAGCATTGAAACTGATCAAGGCAATTCTTAGGCCATTAATGCTTAGGAGAACAAAGGAAACAAAGGACAAGGAAGGGAGGTAGTTGTCTCGTTTTCTAGTTTTCTTGAAACTCAAAGTTTACTTGAGAGGCAAAGCCTTGAATTAGGCCAATTCTTATCCTGCCACCAACTTACATCCAAGTCATTGAGTGTGAACAGTCGGAAGCAGAGCGCGATTTCTATGATGCCCTCTACAAGAAATGTAAAGTAAGATTTACAGCCCCAGCAAGTAACAGCATTTTCAAGGGTTCTTTCAGATTATTCAGACATGTGGTTCGAAATCTGATATGCATTTTTGGGACTGCTAACAGTTTCTTGTTGATGAACCAGGTCCAGAAGCTGCAAAGGCAGAGAAGCTAAAGATGAGGTTGAGATGGATGGATTTCAAAGTGATGATGATGACGATGAGTCTGATAGAGAAATGGCAGATGATGATGAGGATGGAGATGAAGCTATGATCAGAGGATAAGCAGAAAGTTTAGTATGCATTTTTATGTCTTGCATTTCATTTGTGGACATTAATTTCTGAATCTAATACATCTGGTGAAAATCTCTATTTCAGATTTATGTTCGAGATCGAGCAGCCCCATTTATTTCAATGGCAGAAATGATGAGGAAGTTTGAATCTAGTACAAGTCAGATGTCAATTCCACACATGAATTGTTCCATGTCACATGTAAATACAAATAACTTGCTTAAAAGTTTTATTGTTTTTCTAGTACGTTTTCTTTAAAAATTTGAACTATTTTTCAGGATGGATTCTGTCCTTGATGTCATTGCCATCAATGACACCGGAGGTGTCAAGCAGGCCTCACACCTTCTCAAATACGACTCCACCCTTGGCATCTTCGACGCCGACGTCAGTCCTGTCGGCGACAATGCCATCTCCGTCGACGGCAAGGTCATCAATATCGTATCCAGCCGCAATCCCATCAACATCCCGGCAAGGTAATATTTAATCATATTTTATTATTTTAATTTCTACGCAGTGTTTTCTTCAATCCAGTTGACATTATTTTTGAATATAATATTCTTTATATAACTGATCAGGTTGAAGTGAAGGCTATGTGGGAGGTTGACAGGTAAATCACCTTCTGTCAATAATGCTGTTGGTTTAATGAATCTGAACTTCTTTGTGGTGATCATGGTAATAATGGTAGTAATCTTAGATGTTCTACTGTATACAACCATTGTCTGTTATTGAAAGTATAGTCTATGAGTGTGAACATTCCTGTGGCTACTTAACAACTAGGGAGCAAGTCTTAAATGTGTGGTCCTGCATACATACGTCATTGCATAGCATATAATATTTTAGGGCTGTTAACAAGTAGTAGAATGTTGTTCTTTTACTTTTGGGATATAGGATTTTTTTTCTCCAATTTTCGTGCATTCTTCTTTTTTGGTTTGCATCTTTAGTGTTTTCAAGTGTTTTTTTTATTTTTATTTTATTTATTTATTTATTTTTTTTATAGATGTTTTTACTGTATAAGACTAGATTCTATGTTTGATTGCTCAATTAATTACCATTGGTTGTTATATTGAAAATAATAGTGATCAATGTATTCTTGGGGGGGGGGGGGTGGGTGGGTGGGTCTGTTATCTGAATTTCCTGCCTGTTCTTGATTATTTTGTGTCCTAAATTCTTTTCTGCCCATCTGGTTTTCCCCACATTTTTGGGTTCTTTTTCCTTTGTCATTTTTAAAATAATTTTCAGAGTTATTTTTTTTAACATTTACATTCTTGATATGATTTTTCCTGAGGTTTGTTCAGTCTTATCTTTAATATTTTAACTCAGCATGGACATAAATTATAATTCTATGAACAGTATACTATTGAGGAAAAGGTGATTGAAGAGCTTATAAGAATCTTGCACTTGATGCTTTGGTTATCCAGCAAGGAAGGCTGGCAGAGCAAAAGGTATGGTTTCTCTCATGGTTTTGCTATTTTTGATATATAGCTGTAATCCGTATTAACTAATTTGGATCCTTGGCTTGACTCAGTGCAGCGGATCCTTGGCTTGACTCAGTGCAGCTGTAAGGATGAGCTACTTCAGATGGTGAGATTTGGTGCTGAGATGGTTTTCAGTTACAAGGATAGCACAATCACAGATGAAGATATAGATAGGATCATTGCTGAAGGAGAAGAGGCTACAGCTGAACTTAATGTCAAGATGAAGAAGTTTACAGAAGATGCACCCCCAACACCCCCCCCCCTCCCCCCTCTAGGCTAATCTAGATCTCATTTTATGCAGCTGCTGATATTTTTGACTTTAATGATGAAAAGGTTAGTTGGTTTAATCTAGATCTCATTTTACGTTTTCTTTAAAAATTTGAACTATTTTTCAGGATGGTATGGCTGGATCAGTGCAGAGGAAGCCTAAGATTGCACTGACAAGGCCTAAGGAACCTGAACTTGAAACAGCTCAACGTTACCGTCCAGTAAAACTTAAGAGCTCAGCTGAGTTGGAAGAAGAAATGATGGCAAAAATTCCCAAGTTTAAGGCTCGCCCTCTAAATAAGAAGGTACCTCCAGTAAAACTTAAGAGCTCAGCTGAGTTGGAAGATGAAATGATGGCAAAAATTCCCAAGTTTAAGGCTCGCCCTCTAAATACGAAGGTACCCCCATTTTAAGTGACCGCATTATTTTCCTTAGTTTATACATCTTGCCTTAGTTTAAGAGACTGCTTTAGTATTCATGTCCTTTTTGTTAACTCCATGTGTTAATTTCCCTTTTGTTGAAAGTGTTCTTTATTGCAGCTTCGAAACCTTTCCCTTCTTCTCCCTTGGAACCTTTTCAGCTAATCCCGATAATGGATGTTGCCGTCGATTGGAAGAAAACTCTGGCTGGTATTCACGGAATTATAGTGTGCGTTTTCTTTCTTATGTTTTATTTTGATCTTTTTCTCCCTCCCTCTGCGTGCTTGTATATAATATGTTATGGAGTTTTTCCCTGCTAAAGTCTCCTGTTTTCTTTGTAGCGGCTATGTTGACCAACGTCTACTGAAAATCAATGCCAAGGTATTCCATTCATATGATTCAACAGTGTTCTGCAACAGGTATTATTAATCTCCTCCTTCCTTCTCTTTCAATCTCTTATTCGTGTTGTTATTTTTATGCTTTCTTCTCCTTTTCCTCATCTACACTCCCTTCTCATTTGTGCGTGTTTTTCTTTCTCGTGGTGTGAGGTATTATTCTTCCCCCTCTTGTCCTCATATTCATTCTCTTTCTTAATTTCCCTGATTTATTATAACTTGGTGGTATGAATTTCTTGCTTGCAGTGGATTATTCTCCATCGATAATTGGAATGGATGTTTCCCACGACATTTTTAGGGAATTCATTCTTTTCACACAAATGGTATAACCAGCCTGTCACAGTATGTGAAGCCACTATTTACTAACTGATTTATATGAAATGCTTTTTAATGGAGAGATGGTTAATTTATTAATTTCAGCTTTGTGTTTGCCTTTGTGAATTTGTCTATGTTCTTTTATGCTTTGATATAAATCATGAATGCCTGTATATATAGGATTTCACAATTGGTCTGGTTCTTAATTCTGTAATATGGGGTGGAATATGCATAATAAGCCTTAACTTTTTAGCCATGTATAAGGATTGTTGATAGGAAGAAGTGACTCCTGACGGGGAAGCCAATTTGGCATGTTTTGCTCCATCTGCCTAGTATTCTACTGTTGTTTTGGGGGTTATGATTCTTATTACATTTTGCTAACTTCTCAGGGATCTGGTGACAAGCGGTCAGCTGTTCACGGTTCTGTTTCTGCGCTAATATCAGTTCTCAAGGATCCTGTAAGAAGCTGTCCTCACTTTAAGGTTTGCTCCACTCTGTGAATATAAACTTCATTTATACAATTTGGTTTGCCTCAATTAAGTTTCACTGACAAAGCCAACTTAGTTTCACTGACTGCTGAGATTATTTAACGGGAGCATGTACCCCTCAGCCACCAAAAATAACTTCTCAGAGAACAGCCCAACAAACTGATGCTAAGAAGCACCAGACAGCTAAAAAAAATAGCAATTATGACCAGGAACCCCTCTGCGTTGAAGTCAGCAACCCAATCACAAGTGAAAAGCTTTAATCCAGCTAGTGCAAGAAGGTTGATATCTTTCTTTTACTTCCAATATTTGTTTTGATTTGTTCTATATCTCTTTATTTTCGTGAGCTGGAATCTGTGTAATATCTTTCTTATCGATTATTGATTCAGAGGAACGCAAATGTTAAAATTACATCTGAAACTCCAAATTTTGCTCAAGAAAATCAAGCTATAAAAATGCAAAAACTTGAAGAGAGGAAAGCTAGACAGGTGGGTCATTTGTTGACTAAAAATTTTTACCTTATCAAGTGCATCATTTTTCACATATTTTTAATCTGATCTCCTCAATTTGTTCTCACTTTTGCTTAGATCCTTACCATCAAACCCCATGCTTTGCTCCATAAACAAGACCTGTGAAATCTACCAGCAACTTGTACACTTCAACTGCTAAAACACGTACATAAGACATAACGGTTTGGACATTAATTTTCTGAATCTGCTACATGGTGAAAATCTCATTTTCAGATTTATGTTCGTGAACCAGCAGCCCCATTTCTTTCCATGGCAGAAATGATGAAGAAGTTCGAATCTAGTACAAGGGAGATGTCATTGTCATGCATGAATTGTTCCATGTCACATGTAACTTGCTTAAAAGTTTTATTATTTTTCTAGTACGTTTTCTTTAAAAATTTGAACTATTTTGGAGGATGGTATGGCTGGATCAGGGCAGAGGAAGCCTAAGATTGCACTGACAAGGCCTAAGGAACCTGAACTTGAAACAGCTCGACGTTACTGTCCAGTAAAACATAATAGCTCAGCTGTGAGTTGGAAGATGAAATGATGGCAAAAATTCCCAAGTTTAAGGCTCGCCGTTTAAATTAGAAGGTACCCCCACTTTAAGTGACTGCATTATTTTCCTGAGTTTATACATCTTGCCTTAGTTTAAGAGACTGCTTTATTATTCATGTGCTTCTTTATTTACTCTATGTGTTAATTTCCCTTTTGTTGAAAGTGTTCTTTATTGCAGCTTCGAAACCTTTCCCTTCTCCATCGGAACCTTTTCAGCTTATCCCGATAATGGATGTTGCCGTTGATTGGAAGAAAACTCTGGCGGGTATTCACGGATTGACAGCGTGCGTTTTCTTTCTTATGTTTTATTTTGATCTTTTTCTCCCTCCCTCTGCATGCTTGTATATAATATGTTATGGAGTTTTTCCCTGCTAAAGTCTCCTGTTTTCTTTGTAGCGGCTATGTTGACCAACGTCTACTGAAAATCAATGCCAAGGTATTCCATTCATATGATTCAACAGTGTTCTGCAACAGGTATTATTAATCTCCTCCTTCCTTCTCTTTCAATCTCTTATTTGTGTTGTTATTTTTATGCTTTCTACTCCTTTTCCTCATCTACACTCCCTTCTCATTTGTGCGTGTTTTTCTTTCTCGTGGTGTGAGGTATTATTCTTCCCCCTCTTGTCCTCATATTCATTCTCTTTCTTAATTTCCCTGATTTATTATAACTTGGTGGTATGAATTTCTTGCTTGCAGTGGATTATTCTCCATCGATAATTGGAATGGATGTTTCCCACGACATTTTTAGGGAATTCATTCTTTTCACACAAATGGTATAACCAGCCTGTCAAAGTATGTGAAGCCACTATTACTAACTGATTTATATGGAATGCTTTTTAATGGAGAGATGGTTAATTTATTAATTTCAGCTTTGTGTTTGCCTTTGTGAATTTGTCTCTGTTCTTTTATGCTTTGATATTAATCTTGAATGCCTGTATATATAGGATTTCACAGTTGGTCTGATTCTTAATTCTGTAATATGGGGTGAAATTTGCATAATAAGCCTTAACTTTTTAGCCATGTATAAGGATTGTTGATAGGAAGAAGTGACTCCTGGGGAAGCCAATTTGGCATGTTTTGCTCCATTTGCATAGTATTCTACTGTTGTTTTGGGGGTTATGATTCTTATTACATATCGCTAACTTCTCAGGGATCTGGTGACAAGCAGTCAGCTGTTCACGGTTCTGTTTCTGCTGTAATATCAGTTCTCAAGGATCCTGTAAGAAGCTGTCCTCACTTCAAGGTTTGCTCCACTCTGTGAATATCAACTTCGTTTATACAATTTGGTTTGCCTCAATTAAGTTTCATTGACAAAGCCAACTTAGTTTCACTGACTTCTGAGATTATTTAACGGGAGCATGCACCCCTCAGCCACCAAAAATAACTTCTCAGATAACATCCCAACACACTGATGCTAAAAAGCACAAGACAGCTAGAAAGGAGTAGCAAGTTTGATCTGTAACCCCTCTGCATTGAAGTCAGCAACCCAATCACAAGTGATAAGCATTAATCCAGCTAGCGCAAGAAGGTAGATATCTTTCATTTACTTCCCATATTTGTCTTGTTTTGTTCTATATCTCTTTATTTCGTGAGCTGGATTCTGTGAAATATGTTTCTTATCAATTATTGAATCACGCGAACGCAAATATTAAAATAACATCTGAAGCTCCAAATTTTGCTCAAGAAAATCAAGCTATAAAGAGGCAAAAACTTGAAGAGGGGAAAGCTAGACAGGTGGGTCATTTATTGACTAAAAATTTTTACCTTATTAAATGTATCATTTTTCACATATTTTTAATCTGATCTCCTCAATCTGTTCTCACTTTTGCTTAGATCCTTAGCATCAAACCCCAAGAAGGTAGATATCTTTCTTTTACTTCCCATATTTGCCTTGTTTTTTTCTATATCTCTTTATTTTGGTGAGCTGGAATCTGTGTAATATGTTTCTTATCAATTATTGATTCACAGGAACGCACATATTAAAATTTCATCTGAAGCTCCAAATTTTGCTCAAGAAAATCAGGCTACAAAGAGGCAAAAACTTGAAGAGGGGAAAGCTAGACAAGTGGGTCATTTATTGACTAAAATTTTTTACCTTGTTAGGTGTATCATTTTTCAAATAGTTTTAATCTGATCTCCACAATTTGTTCTAACTTTTGCTTAGATCCTTAGCATCGAACCCCAAACTTTGCTCCATAAAACAAGACCTGTTTTGTTCCCATATTTGCCTTGTTTTGTTCTATATCTCTTTTTTTTGGTGAGCTAGAATCTGTGTAATATGTTTCTTATCAATTATTGATTCACAGGAACGCACATATTAAAATTACATCTGAAGCTCCAAAAGCTCCAAATTTTGCTCAAGAAAATCAGGCTACAAAGAGGCAAAAACTTGAAGAGGGGAAAGCTAGACAAGTGGGTCATTTATTGACTAAAATTTTTTACCTTGTTAGGTGTATCATTTTTCACATAGTTTTAATCTGATCTCCTCAATTTGTTCTAACTTTTGCTTAGATCCTTAGCATCGAACCCCAAACTTTGCTCCATAAAACAAGACCTGGGAAATCTACCAGTAACTTGTACACTTCAACTGCTAAAACACGTACAGAAGACAGAAAGGTTAATATGCATTTTTATGTCTTGCATTTCATTAATGGACATTAATTTTCTTGATCTAATACATGGTGAAAATCTCATTTTTAGATTTATGTTCGTTAACCAGCAGCCCCATTAATTTAATGGCAGAAATGATGAAGAAGTTCGAATCTAGTACAAGGTAGATGCCTATGCCATGCATGAATTGTTCCATGTCACATGTAACTTGCTTAAAAGTTTTATTATTTTTCTAGTACATGTTCTTTAAGATTTTGAACTGTTTTTCAGGATGGTATGGCTGGATCAGTGCAGAGGAAGCCTAAGATTGCACTGACAAGGCCTAATGAACTTGTAAGAAGCTGTCCTCACTTCAAGGTTTGCTCCACTCTGTGAATATCAACTTCGTTTATAGAATTTTGTTTGCCTCAATTAAGCTCTACTCTGGTCTGGAGTTGCAACCTTGGTGGTGGCTTCGTCTCTTCTCACTATGGATCTGGTACACTGATTTAAATTTGATATTGTGCCTTTTCTTTCTTATGTTTAATTTTGATCTTTTTTTATCCCTTCACTCTGTGTGCTTGTATATAATATGTTATGGAGTTTTTCTTTGCTAAATTCTCTTGTTTTCTTTGTAGCGGCTATGTTGACCAACGGCTACTAAAAATATCAATTGCAACCTTGGTGGTGGCTTCGTCTCTTCTCACTATGGATCTGGTATTCACTGATTTAGATTTGAGAGTGTGCCTTTTCTTTCTTATGTTTAATTTTGATCTTCTTTTTTTTCCCCTCACTCTGTGCACTTGTATATAATATGTTATGGAATTTTTCTCTACTAAAGTCTCCTGTTTTCTTTGTAGCGGCTATGTCGACCAACAGCTACTGAAAATATCAGTTGCAACCTTGGTGGTGGTTTTGTCTCTTCTCTCTATGGATCTGGTATTCACTGATTGAGATTTGAGAGTGTGCCTTTTCTTTCTTATGTTAAATTTTGATCTTTTTTTTTTCCTCACTCTGTGTGCTTGTATATAATATGTTATGGAGTTTATCTCTACTAAATCCTCCTGTTTTCTTTGTAGCGGCTATGTCGACCAACGGCTACTGAATATCAATGCCAAGGTATTACATTCATATAATACAACAGTGTGCTGCAATAAAAAAAAAAGATAGAAATAACGGGAACTTTATTACTCAAAATATTTCCCTGATTTATTATAACATGGCGTTATGAATTTCTTGCTTGCAGTGGAATGTTCTCCATCGATTCCCAGAATTATAACTGGAATGGATGTTTCCCATGGCGTTTTCATGAATTCATTCTTTTCACACAAATAGTATAACCAGCCTGTCACAGTGTGTGAAGCCACTATTGACTAATTGATTTAATTGAAAAGCTTTTTAATGGAGAGATGGTTATTTTATTAATTTCAGCTTTGTGTTGTCTCTTCTGTTCTTTTATGCTTTGAAATAAATCTTGAATGCCTGTATATATAGGATTTCACAATTGGTCTGATTCTCAATTCTATAATATGGGCACCAATGCACTGGAATTTGCATAATAAGCCATGTTGTTGATGGGAAGAAGTGACTCCTGATGGGGAAGCCAAGTTGGTATGTTTTGATCCATCTGCATAGTATTCTACTGTTGTTTTGGGGGGTTATGATTCTTATTACATTTCGCTAACTTCTCAGGGATCCTGTAAGAAGCTGTCCTCACTCCAAGGTTTGCTCCACTCTGTGAATATCAACTTCGTTTATACTTTTGGTTTGCCTCAATTAAGTTTCACTGACAAAGCCAATGTAGTTTCACTGACGGCTGAGATTATTGAACGGGAGCATGCACCCCTCAGCCACCAAAAATAACTTCTCAGAAAACAGCCCAACGAACAGATGCTAATTGCTAAGAAACACCAGACAGCTAAACAATAGCAAGTATGATCTCAAACCCCTCTGCATTGAAGTCAAAATCTGAATCACAAGTGAAAAGCATTAATCCAGCTAGTGCAAGAAGGTCGATATCTCTCTTTTAGTTTCCATATTTGTCTAGTTTTGTTCTATATCTCTTTATCTTTTGTGCTGGAATCTGTGTAATATGTTTCTTATCAATTGATTCACAGGAATACATATGAAAATTACATCTAAAATTTCAAATTCTGTTCAAGAAAATCAAGCTATAAAGGCAAAAACTTGAAGAGGGGAAAGCTAAACAGGTGAGTCATTTATTTACAAAATTTTTTTACCTTACTAAGTGTATCATTTTTGACATATTTTTAATCTGATCTCCTCAATTTGTTCTCACTTTTGCTTATGTCCTTAGCATCAAACCCCAAACTTTGCTCCATAAAACAAGACCTGGGAAATCTTTCAGCAACTTGTATACTTCAACTGCTAAAACACGTACAGAAGACAGAAAGGTTAGTATGCATTTTTATGTCTTGCATTTCATTTATGGACATTAATTTTCTGAATTGAATACATGGTGAAAATCTCAGTTTCAGATTTGTGTTCGTGAACCAGCAGCCCCATTTATTTCAATGGAAGAAATGACGAAGAAGTTCTAATCTAGTACAAGGGAGGTGTCAATACCATGCATGAATTGTTCCATGTCACATGTAACTTGCTTAAAAGTTTTATTATTTTTCTAGTACGTTTTCTTTAAAAATTTGAACTATTTTTAAGGATGGTATGGCTGGATCAGTGCAGAGGAAGCCTAAGATTGCACGGACAAGGCCTAAGGATCCTGAACTTGAAACAGTTCAACGTTACCTTCCAGTACAACTTAAGAGCTCAGCTGAGTTGGAGGAAGAAATGATGGCAAAAATTCCCAAGTTTAAGGCTCGCCCTCTAAATAAGAAGGTACCTCCATTTTAAGTGACCGCATTATTATCCTGAGTTTATACATCTTGCCTTAGTTTATGAGACTGCTTTAGTATTCATGTCCTTTTTGTTAACTCCATGTGTTAATTTCACTTTTGTTGAAAGTGTTCTTTATTGCAGCTTCGAAACCTTTCCCTTCTCCCTCGGAACCTTTTCAGCTTATCCCGGTAATGGATATTGCCGTCGATTGGAAGAAAACTCTGGCTGGTATTCACGGATTCACAGCGTGCCTTTTCTTTCTTATGTTTTATTTTGATCTCTTTCTCCCTCACTCTGTGTGCTTGTATATATTATGTTATTGAGTTTTTCCCTGCTAAAGTCTCATGTTTTCTTTGTAGCGGCTATGTTGACCAACGTCTACTGAAAATCAATGCCAAGGTATTCCATTCAAATAATTCAACAGTGTTCTGCAACATTTATTATTAATCTCCTCCTTCCTTCTCTTTCAATCTCTTATTCGTGTTGTTATTTTTATGCTTTCTTCTACCCCTTTTCCTCATCTTCACTCCTTTCTCATTTGTACGTGTTTATCTTTCTCATGGTGTGAGGTGTTATTCTTCCCCCTCCTGTCCTCGTATTCATGCTCTTTCTTCATTTCCCTGATTTATTATAACTTGGTGATATGAATTTCTTGCTTGCAGTGGAGTATTCTCCATTGATAATTGGAAGGGATGTTTCCATGGCATTTTCAGGAAAATCGTTCTTGTCACACAAATGGTATAACCAGCCTGTCACAGTATGTGATGCCACTTTTTACTAACTGATTTATATGAAATGCTTTTTAATGGAGAGATGGTTAATTTATTAATTTCAGATTTGTGTTTGCCTTTTCGAATTTGTCTCTGTTCTTTTATGCTTTGATATAAATCTTGAATGCCTGTATATATAGGATTTAACAATTGGTCTTATTCTTAATTCTGTAATATGGGCACCAATCCACTAGAATTTGCATAATAAGCCTTAACTTTTTAGCCATGTGTAAGGATTGTAGATAGGAAGAAGTGACTCCTGACGGGGAAGCCAATTTGGTATGTTTTGCTCCATTTGCATAGTATTCTACTGTTGTTTTGGGGGTTATGAATCTTATTTCTTTTCCGCTAAATTCTCAGGGATCTAATGATAAGCAGTCAGCTGTTCACGGTTCTGTTTCTACTGTAATATCAGTTCTCAAGGATCCTGTAAGAAGCTGTCCTCACTTCAAGGTTTGCTCCACTCTGCGAATATCGACTTCGTTTATACAATTTGGTTTGCCTCAATTAAGCTCCACTCTGGCCTGGAGTTGCAACCATGGTGGTGGCTTCGTCTCTTCTCACTATGGATCTGGTATTCACTAATTTAGATTTGAGAGTGTGCCTTTTTCTTTCTTTCGTATGTTTAATTTTGATCTCTTTTTTTTTTTTCCCTCACTTTGTGCTTGTATATAAAATGTTATGGAGTTCTCTACTAAAGTCTCCTGTTTTCTTTGTAGCGGCTATGTCGACCAACGGCTACTGAAAATATCAGTTGCAACCTTGGTGGTGGTTTCATCTCTTCTCTCTATGGATCTGGTATTCACTGATTGAGATTTGAGAGTGTGCCTTTTCTTTCTTATGTTTAATTTTGATCTTTTTTTTTTCCCCTCACTCTGTGTGCTTGTATATAAAATGTTATTGAGTTTTTCTCTACTAAAGTCTCCTGTTTTCTTTGTAGCGACTATGTCGACCGACGGCTACTGAATATCAATGCCAAGGTATTACATTCATATAATTCAACAGTGTGCTGCTATAAAAAAAAAGAAAAAGAAATAACAGTAACTTTATTACTCAAAAATATTTCCCTGATTTATTATAACTTTATTACATTCATATAATTCAACAGTGTGCTGCTATAAAAAAAGAAAAAGAAATAACAGTAACTTTATTACTCAAAAATATTTCCCTGATTTATTATAACTTGGCGGTATGAATTTCTTGCTTGCAGTGGAATGTTCTCCATCAAATCCCAGAATTATAACTGGAATGGATGTTTCCCATGGCATTTTCAGGAATTCATTCTTTTCACACAAATAGTATAACCAGCCTGTCGCAGTATGTGAAGCCACTATTGACTAACTGATTTATTTGAAAAGCTTTTTAATGGAGAGATGGTTATTTTATTAATTTCAGCTTTGTGTTGTCTCTTCTGTTCTTTTATGCTTTGAAATAAATCTTGAATGCCTGTATATATAGGATTTCACAATTGGTCTGATTCTAAATTCTATAATATGGGCACCGATGCCTTGGAATTTGCATAATAAGCCTTAACTTTTGAGCGATGTTGTTGATAGGAAGAAGTAACTCCTGACGGGGAAGCCAATTTGGTATGTTTTGATCCATCTGCATAGTATTCTACTGTTGTTTTGGGGGTTATGATTCTTTTTACATTTCGCTAACTTCTCAGGGATCCTGTGAGATGCTGTCCTCACTCCAAGGTTTGCTCCACTCTGTGAATATCAATTTCGTTTATACTTTTGGTTTGCCTCAATTAAGTTTCACTGACTGCTGGGATTATTGAACGGGATCATGCACCCCTCAGCCACGAAAAATAACTTCTCAGAAAATAGCCCAACGAACTGATGCTAATTGCTAAGAAGCACCAGACAGCAAAACAATAGCAAGTATGATCTCAAACCCCTCTGCATTGAAGTCAAAATCTGAATCACAAGTGAAATGCACCCCTCAGCCACCAAAAATAACTTCTCAGAAAACAGCCCAACGAACTTATGCTAATTGCTAAGAAGCACCAGACAGCAAAACAATAGCAAGTGATGATCTCAAACCCCTCTGCATTGAAGTCAAAATCTGAATCACAAGTGAAATGCATTAATCCAGCTAGTGCAAGAAGGTCGATATCTCTCTTTTAGTTTCCATATTTGTCTAGTTTTGTTCTATATCTCTTTATCTTTTGTGCTGGAATCTGTGTAATATGTGTCTTATCAATTATTGATTCACAGGAACACATATGAAAATTACATCTGAAATTTCCAATTTTGCTCATGAAAATCAAGCTATAAAGAGGCAAAAACTTGAAGAGGGGAAAGCTAGATAGGTGAGTCATTTATTGACTAAAAATTTTTACCTTTGTGTATCATTTTGCACATATTTTTAATCTGATCTCCTCTATTTGTTCTCACTTTTGCTTATGTCCTTAGCATCAAACCCCAAACTTTGCTCCATAAAACAAGACCTGGGAAATCTACCCGCAACTTGTACACTTCAACTGCTAAAACGCGTACAGAAGACAGAATGGTTAGTATGCATTTTTATGTCTTGCACATTTCATTTATGGACATTAATTTTTGAATCGAATACGTTTCGAAAATTTCTATTTCAGATTTGTGTTCGAGAACCAGCAGCCCCATTTATTTCAATGGCAGAAATGATGAAGACGTTCGAATATAGTACAAGGGAGATGTCAATGCCACGCTTGAATTGTTCCATGTCACATATAAATACAAATAACTTGCTTAAAATTTCTATTAATTTTCTAGTACATTTTTTTTTTTCAAATTTTAACTATTTTTCAGGATGGTATGGCTGGAATCAGTGCAGAGGAAATGAGGAATCCTATAAGTTTACACTGACAAGGCCCAAGGAACTTGAACTTGAAACAGCTCAACGTTACCGTCCAGTAAAACTTAAGAGCTCAGCTATGTTGGAAGAAGAAATGATGGCAAAATTCCCCAAGTTTAAGGCTCGTCCTCTAAATAAGAAGGTACCTCCATTTTGAGTGACCGCATTATTTTCCTGAGTGTATACATCTTGCCTTAGTTTAAGAGACTGTTTTAGTTAGTATTCATGTGCTTTTTGTTTATTCCATGTATTAATGTCACTTTCGTTAAGAGTGTTCTTTATTGTCGCTTCGAATCCTTTCCCTTCTCCCTCAGAACCTTTTCAGCTTATTCCATCTCTTATTCCGTCTTGTTATTTCATTCTGCTTTTTATCCCTCATCTAACTAACCTTCTCATTTGTGCGTGTTTATCTTTCTCTTTTTTTCTTTTTTCTTCATTTTCTGTTTTATTCGTTATCTTCTACTTCAAAATTTTCATTCTTCCTCGTTTCGCCTTTCTCCTCATTTCATAATCTACTACTACTCTTACTCTCTTTTTCTTCTCCCTTTCATTCTAATATTTATCATGTTCTTTCTTTTTATTCTTTCCCCCCTTTTTTTGTTCTTAATTTTCTTCTCCTCTTTCCCATCTTCCTTAATCGTTTCTCTCTTTCTTTCCTTTTTTTTTTTCCTTCATGTTCTCCATCCTTTCTTACTCACCCACTCTAATTCCCATCCCTTCTCGTTTTTTCTTTGTTGGCCTTCTCTCTCTCTCTATCTCTCTCTCTCTCTCTCTATATATATATATAATTTTAATCTTATTCTCCAAATGCCTTTTGTCACTATTTTCGTCTTTTTGTTTATCTTCCCCTTATTTCTCCTTTTATCCTCCTCCATTCGTTTTCTCTCTCTTATCCTCATCTACCTTCTTTCTCTTTATTCTTTTCATTAAAGTGTAATGTTTATCTTTCTCTCCATTTTGACACTCATTCTTCAATTTCCATATTCCTTCAACTTCTCTTTTTCTGTCTTTTTGTTCTCCTCCTTGTCCGTGTATTAATTCTCTTGCTTCTTGCTTCTTACTTCTTTATCTTCTTCTTCTTCTCTTTCTCATCTTCCTCTCATTTTCTTCTTTTTTTCCCTTCTCTTTCTTTCATGTTTTCCATCCTTTCCTTAAATAATTCTCATACTTCTTTTCCCTTCCTCGCATGTTCTCATAATTTTTATAATTCTCTTTCTATTCATCATTTTCATCCTTATTTTTTCCTTCCACCTATCTTCCAATTTCGTTTTTCTGTATCTACACTTTGTTCTTCTCATCTTTCTCTTTTTTATTATGCATAATTCTCTATGTCCTTCTTTTTTCTTATTTTCCTTATATTTTTTCTTCTTTTTGTTTTCCCCTTTTATTTTCCCACCTTTTCCCCTTTTATCTTTAATTTTTATCCTCTCATTTGTCTACTACTATTTTTTCTTCTCCTTTTCTCTTTTTCACCTATCTTTCTCTCCATTTTGACACTCATTCTTCATTTTCCATATTCCTTCGACTTCTCTTTTTCTGTGTTTTTCTCCCTATTTTTCTTATTGCTCTTTCTCCTCGTTTTTTTAACCTACTGCTGCTCTCTTTTTCTTCTTCTCCTTGTCTTTGTATTAATTCTCTTTCTTCTTACGTCTTTATCTTCTTTCTTTTCTTCTTCTTCTCTTTATCATCTTCCTCTCATTTTCTTCTTTTTTTCCCTTCTTTTTCTTTCATGTTCTCCATCCTCTCCTAAAATAATTCTCATACTTCTTTTTCCTTCCTCTCATGTTCTCATAATCTTTATAATTCTCTCTTTCTATTATTGTCCTCGTCACCTTTCCATATCTTCTTTTAGTTCATTCCTTATTATTATTTATTCATCCTTTTCATCCCTATTTTTTCCTTCCACTTATCTTCCCATTTCATTTTTCTTTATCTACACTTTCTTCTTCTCATCTTTCTCTTTTTTATTATGCATTATTCTCTATGTCCTCCTTTTTTCTTATTTTCCTTATATTTTTTCTTCTTTTTGTTTTCCCCTTCTATTTTTCCACCTTTTCCCTTTTTATCTTTAATTTTTATCCTCTCCTTTCCTTCTCATTCTCAGCTTTCTACCTCTTGTCCTCATCTAAATTCCCTTCTAGTTGTGCATATTTGTCTTCCTCATGGTGTGAGGTATTATTTTCTCCATCTTGTCCACGTATTCATTCTTTTTCTTCTTTTGTCTTCATGTTCTCCATCTTTTCTTAAAATAATTCTCATACTTTTTTCCCCTATTACTCTTATAATATAATTCTTTTTAGAGTTTATTACCGAAATGGTCCCTCGACTATTGTGAAATTACCAATTTAGTCCTCGACAATTTTTCTTACCCAATTAAGTCATCGACTTTAAAAATGTTAACCATTTTGGTCCTCCGTTAAATCAGCCGTTAGAAGTCCGTTAAATTGGAGGGCATTGATGGAATTTTGCAAAATATCTACTTTGATGGTCTCTTGTTCCAGAAGTTGGGCATCACAAAAGGACAGACTAAGATCCCCAACCAAATTCTTGATCCGTTTTCGTCGAGAAGTTTCTGCTTGAACGCAAGGATCTTAGGAAACATGAGCAGCAGTAGCGGCGGTGGGAGTGGTCATTATTATGACTATATGCCAGATCAGGTTCAGAGATATGTGCAGAGAGATGAGTTTGTGAGTGTCCATGGCCTTCCTAGTCGGTACAACTGGAACAGATCGCAGCCTGGCTGCCTGGATTTCCTCGCTCTCCTTCGGTTGAAGAACCTGGTAATCAGTACAACTGGAACATAAAGCAACCTGGATTTTATCACTCTCAGCTAGAAGAGCCTGCTAATCAGTACAACTAGAACAAAATTCAAACCAGATTACCTCACTGGGAAGAGCCTTCAGTAAGTCCCATCATTCACCTCTATGTATGTTTTGCTCGTGAATTCAACCTTGTACCCAATCTTCTACCTCTAACCTCGTACCCCATATTCTGCCTCTGACCTCATACCCAATCTTCTGCAAAAAACCACTCAATCTACCATCTCTATTCATGAATTCAATCCAGATTTTATCAATTAAAGGCTTCACTAGATTCTACTCTTGCCCTAGCAATACTCGGCCTAGACTTCCTGCTTGTTGCCGAATCCAACGCCACAAAGCTCCCAATCGGAGCACACAATTTTTCCATAATTCGACAATCAAATAATTTATTTATTTTTTTCGAGCATCACGTCTGCAAGTGGAAATACAAAAATCAAACACCATCCAAAGATGAGATTCATCTTTATATTTGGAATCAAAAGATAAATAATGCTCACTGTTGGAAAAAAATCCAGACCTGGGTATTCTTTCCAACACAGGAACATATCCATCAGCAGTAACCACACGAAGAGCTTCATAAGGATACCTGAAAGGGAAAGGAGTAATAAACACTTGCATGAATATACAATCAAATAAGTGAATCGGAAGATTAGGGAGCAAGATCCATACCATTGCAATCGATGATCTATCTCTGTACTCACTGGAGACCACCGTCTAAATCGCACCACCCGATCGTCAATGCGAATCCGGTTTCTCGCCAAAATTGTGTCGCAATCTGCTTCCTGCTCACATCGTCTCGACCGGATTGACGAAGAAGGAAAGCTTTAATAAATATAATATATGAAATTACCTTTTTATCCTTAAAATTAATAGCTTATAGATGGAATTTGGACGGAGGACCAAAATGGTTAACATTTTCAAAGTCGAGGACTTAATTGGGTAAAAAAAATTGTCGAGGACTAAATTGGTAATTTCACAATAGTCGAGGGACCATTTCGGTAATAAACTCTTCTTTTTATTATTATTCTCATCCTCCTTCTTTATCTTCTTTTAGTTCATTCTTTATTAATCATCCCATCTTTTTTATCATTTCACCCCTATATTTCTTTCTTCCACCTATCTTCCATTTCATTCTTCTTTGTCTACTACTATTTTTGCATCTCCTTTTTCTCTTTTTCACCTATCTTTCTCTCTATGTTGACACTCATTCTTCATTTTCCATATTCCTTCAACTTCTTTTTTTCTGTCTTTTTCTTCCTATTTTTCTTATTGCTCTTTCTCCTCCTTTTTTTAACCTACTGCTGCTCTCTTTTTCTTCTCCTCCTTGTCCTTGTATTAATTCTCTTTCTTCTTACTTCTTTTTCATCTTCCTTTTCATCTTCTTCTCTTTCTCATCTTCCTCTCATTTTCTTCTTTTTTTCCCTTCTTTTTCTTTCATGTTCTCCTTCCTTTCCTAAAATAATTCTCATACTTCTTTTCTCTTACTCTCATGTTCTCATAATTTTTATAATTCTCTCTTTCTATAATTATCTTCGTCACCTTTCTTTATCTTCTATTAGTTCATTCCTTATTGTTATCTATTCATCCTTTTCATCCCTATTTTTTCCTTCCACCTATCTTCCCATTTCATTTGTCTTTATCTACACTTTCTTCTTCTCATCTTTTTCTTTTTTATTATGCATTATTCTCTATGTCATCCTTTTTTCTTATTTTGCTTATATTTTTTCTTCTTTTTGTTTTCCCCTTCTATTTATCCTTAATTTTTATCCTCTCCTCATTCTCCAAAGTCTCTTCGTCTTTTTATTAATCTTCCGTTTCCTTCTCCTTCCATCTCTTATTTGTCTTGTTATTTTTCAGCTTTCTTCCTCTTGTCCTCATCTAAATTTCCTTCTAGTTGTGCATGTTTATCTTTCTCATGGTGTGAGGTATTATTTTTCTCTATCTTGTCCCCGTATTCATTCTCTTTCTTCTTTTGTCTTCATGTTCTCCATCCTTTCTTAAAATAATTCTCATACTTTTTTTCCCTTCATTACTCTTATTATTCTTTTTATTATTATTCTCATCCTCCTTCTAAATAAGAAGGTACCTCCATTTTGAATAACCGCATTATTTTCCTGAGAGTGTATACATCTTGCCTTAGTTTAAAAGACTGCTTTAGTATTCATGTGCTTTTTGTTTATTCCATGTGTTAATTTTATTTTTATTATTTTTTCGGCTTTTTACCCCTCATCTAACTTCCCTTCTCATTTGTGCGTGTTTATCTTTCTCTTTTTCTTTTTTCTTCATTGTCTGTTTTATTCATTGTCTTCTACTTCAAAATATTCATTCTTCCTCTTTTCGCCTTTCTCCTCATTTCATTCTTCATTGTCTTTTTTTGTTCTTAATTTTCTTCTTCTCTTTCCCATCTTTCTTAATCATTTCTCTCTTTCTTTCCTTCTTTTTCCTTCGTGTTCTCCATCTTTTCTTACTCATCAACTCTAATTATCCCTTCTCGTTTTTTCTTTGTTGACTTTCTTTCTCTCTCTCTATCTCCATCTATATATATATATATATATATATATATATATATATATATATATATATATATATATATATATATATATATATATTAATTTTTATCTTATTTTGCAAACTCTTTCTCACTCTTTTCATTTTCTTTGTTTATCTTCCTCTTCTTTCTCCTTTTATATCTTCCTCCATTCGTTTTCTTTCTCTTATCCTCATCACCTTCTTTCTTTTAATGTTTATCTTCTCCATTTTGACACTCATTCTTCATTTTCCATATTCCTTCAATTTCTCTTTTTCTTTGTCTTTTCTTCTTATTTTTCTTATTGCTCTTTTTCCTCGTTTTAATCTACTGTTGTTCTCTTTTTCTTCTCCTCCTTGTCCTTGTATTAATTCGCTTTCTTCTCACTTCTTTATCTTCTTCATTTTATTCTTCTTCTCTTTCTCATCTTCCTCTCATTTTCTTCGTTTTTCCCTTTTTTCTTTCATGTTCTCCATCCTTCCCTAAAATAATTCTCATACTTCTTTTCCCTTCCTCTTATGTTCTCTTAACTTTTATAATTCTCTCTTTCTATTATTATCCTTGTCACCTTTCTTTATCTTCTTTTAGTTCATTCCTTATTGTTATCTATACATCCTCTTCATCCCTATTTTTTCCTTCCACCTATCTTCCCATTTCATTTTTCTTTATCTACTCTTTCTTCTTCTCATCTTTCTCTTTTTTATTTCGCATTATTCTCTGTGTCCATCTTTTTTCTTATTTTCCTTATATTTTTTCTTCTTTATGTTTTCCCCTTCTATTTTCCACCTTTTTTCCTTTTATCTTTAATTTTTATCCTCTACTTTCCTTCTCATTCTCCAAAGTCTCTTCGTCTTTTTATTAATCTTCCCTTGCCTTCTCTGTCCATCTGTTGTTTGTCTTGTTATTTTTTCAGCTTTCTACCTCTTGTCCTCATCTAAATTCCCTTCTAGTTGTGTATGTTTATCTTTCACATGGTGTGAGGTATTATTTTTCTCCATCTTTGTCCTTGTATTCCTTCTCTATCTTCTTTTGTCTTCATGTTCTCCATCCTTTCTTAAAATAATGCTCATACTTTTTTTCCATTCATTACTCTTATAATTCTTTTGAATATTATTCTCATCCTCCTTTATCGTCTTTTAGTTTATTCCTTATTAATCTTTCCATCTTTTTCATTATTTCACACCTATTTTTCTTCCTTCCACCTATCTTCCATATCATTCTTCTTTGTCTACTCCTATTTTTTCGTCTCCTCTTTCTCTTTTTCGTTCACAGATCCTAACTCTTTCTTATTTTCTTCCTATTTTTTCTTCTTTTCCTTTTACCCTTCTATTATTCTATATATCTTTGATTTTCTTCACACTTTTCCTTCTCATTCTCCAAATTTTCTTGACTCTCATCATCTTCGTCTTTTTATTTCTCTTCCCCTTCCTCTCATTCCGTCCTATTATTTTTCTGCTTTTTATCTCTCATCTAACTTCCCTTCTCATTTGTACATGTTTATCTCTCTTTTCATTTTGACCCTTGTTTCTTTTTCACTTTCTCTCGTTTTTTTTTCTTCATCGTCTCATTTTTCATTATCTTTTACTTCAAAATTTTCATTATTCCTCTTTTCGCCTCTCTACCCATTTCTCTTTTTCTTTTCCTTTTTGTTCTAATACATCATGTTATTTCTTTTTTTTCTACCCTCCCTTTCTCTCTTCTTAATTTTTATCATCTCTTTTCCTTCTTATTGTCCAAACTCATTTTCTCACTCTCTCATCTTTTTGTTTCTCTTTCCTGCCTTTCTCCTTTTATCATCATCCTTTTGCTTTCTCTCTCTTATCTTCGTCCACTTTTTTATTTTTCTTCTCTTTATTCTTTTCATTAAAGTGTAATTTTTATCGTTTTCTCCGTTATGACCCTCGTTCTTCATTTTTCATGTTCCTTCATTTTCTCTTTTCTCCTTGTCTACTGCTACTCTTTTTTTCTTCTCTTTCTTGTTCTCATATTCATTCTCTTTTTGCTTATTATATCCCATCTTCTCTTCTTCCTTTTCTTCTTCTTCTCTTTCTCATCTCACTCACATTTTCTCTCAAATTTCCTTCATTTTTCTCTTCCTTTTCATTCTTTAATTTTAAAAATGATTTTCATGTGTTCTTTAGTTTATAAAAATGATTATATAGTTTGCTCTTTTGTTTAAAAATGATTCTCAATTTTAAAAAAGGATACACCCGAATTTGTGTCTAAAGTTGTTGATATTCTTGCTCAATTCCTTGGAGCAGGTAATTTTTCTGTTTCATAACCTATGAATTATTGCTTGCCTAAAGTTGTTGACATTCTTGCTCAATTCCTTAGACTTTAGTTGAAAATGTGGAGCGCGATGCTGTACAGAAGGCTCTTATCATAGAGCTGAGAGCAGTTTGTAATATGTAAATCATTCCGTGAGGTGATTGTGGAGCGGTTGCCAAACCTAGATTTGAGGTTTAGGAGGGGCCGAGGGGGGCTTGGGTAGGTTTTTAACATATGTAAAAGTCTTCTCCTTCAATAAATACCCAATCACCTTTTTGTGTTTTGGTGTCTGTTCTTTTGTCCAACTCGTGTCAGTGACCTGATAGATACAAGACATATTTAGTGTTTGGCCATTTGCAGAACTTTAATTTTGTGTACCAAATTATTTATTTTCCCTCCATTGTAGGGGAAATCTGCATCTTATGTTCTTCCCCCCCCCCCCCCCCCCCCCCCCCCCTAAATCCCCAAAGCAAAGGAGAAAATTGGCGGCTAAAGATTTGGTTTTGCCGTGTTTGGTGGTGATTTTAGGCTCCACTCAGCTCATTCATTGGTAGTGGATTTGCTGAGGTATTCAAGTTCTTAACTTTTTTCCTTTTTTTTGCTTTCCTTTTCCCCTATCACCTATAATAGGTTAGATTCTAAAAACACAGTGGGTCATGGGTGTAATGCCGCAGATGTGGGAGGGCCTTATACAGAAGACTAAGGATGGAGGCTTGGATGTTATTGATACCTATGTGTTCTGGAACCTCCATGAACATTCACCTGGCAATGTGTTGTTAGTTCTTCATTTCCACCTTTTCCTGAACTAATGTGGTTTATTTTCTGTTTTTTTTTTTTTTTATGGTAAGAGTACTGAGATAATTCCTCTAAGCTTATTTCTTTGAATGCTTGTTTCTATTTGTCACTTTCGATTTTCCATTTTAACTAATCACATTTTCTTCCTTGGTAAATAGGTTTGCTTAGGCAGCCAAAGTTATGACCATTTGATGGAACTTCATAAGGCGATTACGTTAAGTGAGAGAGCTTTAGTTAATGCAGATCCGACTGTTACGCCGTTGGGAAACTATGAACAGGTAATTCCTATTTCCAAGTGATTTCTGAGAAAGTGTTGGCTCTATGGTAATATGCTTTTTGTCATCAAGTCACCATCCGCACCCACCCCCGTCCCCGTGGCCAATAAGATCGGCACGATAAAATATTAGTGTCTATTTTTTTGCTTCAGCTGTCTATCAAAGAAAAGTTTTTTGATAACTATAATGTTACAAATTCAATTCTTAGCGGGAGCGGCCTGTATTGACCTTCTTGGTTTAAGTTGGTTAGCTATGGTCAATCTAGGCTGGTTTACCCTCAGGTAGTAGCTGCGTGTTTCCCTCGTCACTTCAAAAAAAAATAAAGTTTCTGCTATGTGGAGTTAACATGTGTTTTATTCACGTGTTCAAATGTCTTCATTTCTAGGCACATGTATTTTCTTCCATGTCTGGTGGCTGTGCGTCTTTTCTCGCAAATTTCCATTTGAATTCACCTGCCACAGTGACATTCAATCAGAGGCACTATGAACTGCCACCTTGGTCAATTAGTATTCTTTCAGATTGCAAAACTGCTGTCTTTAATTGTTGGCCTTTACTTACAGATCTTATGTCTTTTAGGAATTAGGAGAACAATATCTATTTTCCCTCTATACAGTTGCTATACCTTCATGTTTGTATCGGGATACTAACATTCTCATTGAAACTTCCAATATCTGATTTTCGTCTCAAAAATAAATGGTTCAGAGAAAGAATGAAGAAATAAACTTTACATATATTGAGTGCTTGTTGTATATGCATTTTGCCATCTGGTTCATAAGGTAAGAATCAAGCTTTTGCGCCTTTTTGTGCTGCGCTTTATATGTGTAGTCAAATGAGTTTAGGTTCTGTTAATTTATTATTTTACAGACTCCTAAATCCTAATGCAACAAATAGTCTTTTATTTTATAGGGCTAGATTCTATGTTTGATTGCTCAATTAATTACAATAGGTTGGTTTGGAAAATAACAAGTATTCTTATAAGTTTTTTTAAAAAAAAAAAAAATCAAGTATTATTTTTAGTTTTAAAAATGATTTTTTCAAGGATTCTTTTTAGTTTTAAAAATGATTTTTAAAGTATTTTTTTTATTTTTTAAAAATTAATTTTCAAGTATTCTTTTTAGTTTTAAAATGTTAAAATGATTTTCAAGCGTTCTTTTTAGTTTTAAAAATGATTTTCAAGTGTGCTCTCTTGTTTTAAAAATGATTTTCATGTGTGCTATTGTTTAAAAATGATTTTCAAGTATTCTTTTTGTTTTAAAAATGATTTTTAAGTGTTCTCTAGTTTAGCAAAGATTTTCAAGTATTCTTTTTTTTTAAATGATTTACAAGTGTTCTTTAATTTTTAAAATGATTTTCAAGTGTTCTCTTGTTTAAAATTGATTTTAAAGTGTGGTTTTAGTATAAAAAAGATTTTGAAGTGTTCTTTAGTTTTAAAAATGATTTTCAAATTTAAAAAATGACACACCAGAATATGTGCCTAAAATTGTTGATATTCTTGCTCAATTTCTTGGAGCAGGTAATTTTCTGTTTCATAACCTATGAATTATTGCTTGCCTAAAGATGATGTTCTTGCTCAATGTACATTAATGCCTCTATTCTTGTTCACGTTGACTTGCTTTGCCTCTCAATGCAAGGGTTTGTTTAGAAAATTGTCCAAATGATGATGAATGAAAGGCTGTTTCAGTCACGGGGTGGTCCCATCATTCTCTCTCAGGTAAGGTTTCCATATTTAGCGTAATTTGGTTGCTACCAAATTTACATTCCCGGGATTTAATAGGATGAGATAAAATGATAAATGTCAAGAATTCTTGACATTTATGCTGTTCTTTAACACATAGTTCAGTCATTATAAACAATTTGGAATCGTATCCACCTTGCAAGGTGGACCCGGTTCCACAGCATAATGATTGTCTTGCAATCGTTATATCCTACACCACGGCGCGCGTAGCACTGTGCGCCGCGCGCCTCCCAAAACGACGTCGTTTTGGGAGGCGCGGTACGAAGTTGCTGTGATTATGTGTATTTGTTCACACAATTATGTGTATTTGTTCACACAATTATGTGTATTTGTTCATACAGTTATGTACATTTTTATACAATTATGTACATCCGAATCAAAAAATTTATGTGTATTATGTTAAGAGTTGATGTGTATTACGTTAAAAGTTTATGTTTATTATGTATTGTGTATTATCTTTTAAAAAGAGTATGTATATTTTGTTATATAATTATGTACATTCATGTATACAATTATGTGTATTCTAGTATAACATTATGTACATTTTTGAACAACGAGTTTTTTTTAAAGAAAAAATTGCTGCCATTCACTGGGGCGGAAAATTTCAAAAAAAATAAATAAATTAAAACGACGTCATTTTGCATCTGGGCGCACACTGTAACGCGCGCCGTGGTGTAGGATATAAATTGCCATTGTCTTGACAGAGATAAGATATTAGGGCAAGAAAAAATGTGCTTTTGGGCCTTAGAAAAAAATATAAAATGGACCATGTCTTAACTTCTTAATTAAAAATGGTGTTTGGGCCATAGAAAAAATTGATCCGTGTCTTAACAACTTAATATTGTTAATTACTCATTATATATATATATATATATATATATATATTGTTAATTACTCATTATATATATATATATAATTAAATATTTCAAATAGATTAGATGAAATACAATGTTAATTCAATTTATAGTTTTTTGCTATATATTTTTAATATTTTTATTATTGGGCTAAATTAATGTTGTACCATGCACGGATGCTATATTACGGTGGATATGCATTGGACGTGTTTTTTTTCATCTTTTTTTTTTTAAAGAAAAAATCATATTAAATATCATTAATTACTGATTGCTCTGATTATGCTATATTGTGATATATATGAGTAATAATAGCAATAGGAAAAACATTACAGCCATGGCATGTTTCGGATTTGGCTCATGTTTTCTTGATGCCTTTGTCACCTTCTTTGCCACAACATTCGTAAGCCCAGTTGGTGGTATTCAGATATGTGGACGCGCCGCTACGACCCTCGGTTTCTGTTCTGGGTCATCTTTATCTTATCATTTTCTTTTTCTTTGTACTATGTATTTTACAGAAACCAGATGCACGCAGCTCTATACTAGCCCAAAGACTTGTGTCAACACCCCAGCAAATTCATTATTATTTACGTTAGTTTGTGTTTTTCAAGGTTATAGTTTCTCGATCTTGATTTCATGCTCAACATAAGCAATCGTTATATCGTGCACTATTGTGCGCCGCCTTACCCAAAATGATATCGTTTTGGTGCATTGTCAAAAAAAAAAAAAAAAAAAATCTTTGTTTCAAATACACAAACTCATAATAGAGTATACAGAAATTCATAACTAAATGCACATCTAACATGATACATAATATACAGAAACTCTTAACTAAAGACACAAAAACTCTTAACTGAATACATAGAAACTCATAACACAATACACAGAAACTTTTAACTGAATACACATAATGGGATTTGGGACGTTTGGACGGGCGGAATGACATTAGCAATTGAAACACGCGCGTTTTGTGCATGAGCAGACATTGTTATGTGCATCGTGATGCACGATATATATTGCCCTACGGCTCCTCAGAAGTCAAAAATAAATGTAAGGACTCTTCCATATTATTGATATGGTTGTCGGATAGAGTCAAAAAAGAAATATTCTTCGGTCCCAAATTATACCATTTGAATTCTGTCTGCAATAAACGCTGGTTTTTCGATCAAGTTTTGAATGACTTTCTAGTCAGATCGTTCCTGCGTTTCGAACATAAGCTGTTAACGCATAGTCATGAGCGTGGCCATGGGTAGGGGTGTAAACAAATCGAATCGAGTCCTCACTATTCGATTCGAATTCGACTATATATTCGAATATTCGTATTCGTTTAATATTCGAATCTCAAATTTGATTCGTATTCGATTCGACCAATTTATTCGAATATATTCGATTTGACTCGAATATTCGAATTCGAAATGCCTAATTTAATTTTTTACAAAATTCTTCAATAAATTAAGATAAAATGTAATAAAAATTTATATTTAAATAGCATAAAATATTCGAATACTATTCGAATCGAATACACTCTAATTTGTATTCGTATTCGAAAAATATTCGAATAAGAAAAAAGTATTCGAATTCGGATTCGTATTCGAAATATTCGAATTCGAATCACGAATCGAATTTTTTTTATTTGATTTGTTTACACCCCTAGCCATGGGTCTATGGGAGAACAATTTGAATTGTTTGTGTAATAAATCTCAGGATTATTGGTTTTGTGATTGATTAGGTTGTTAGTGGATGCAAAATATAAAATAAAGAAATGCGGTATGTTTTATTTAATGGAAATAAAATTATGGACATATTGAGTTGTGAGTCAGACTCCACTACTCCTCACCATAGATGTACAAGGTAAGGGTGAACATTTCAGTTCGGGTTATTTGAAACGAGTCGAGTCAAATAGTTAGATTTTAGTTTATTATTATATAAAAATCAATTGGTTTTATATTTTATAAATTGAATGATTTCGGTTTAGATTTTAATTACTTGTGTCAAAAAAGTGATTCACTAATAAATTTTTTCTTCTGTAGTTAGTAGAGAGTTGAGGTTGGAGTGTAAGGATAAGTTGAGTGAGAAATGGATAATTTCTTCTTCTTCATTGCTTGCCCCTCTTGGATTGTGTGGCAAATTGATCAAGTTGGTGACTTGGGCAACTGATGTACAAGTAGGAAGCAGGAATAAATATTTATCAACAATTTTACTTTTGAGTCAACCACAGCCAAGTTGGTAGGGCAGTTGATTTGATAAGTTCATCAGGTAATTGTCTATTGGTCTCTAATTTAGTTTACCTCCTTATATAATCTTTTGCCGGCTAAAATCTCAACTTCATATTATGCACATTTTCAAATAGCAACTGCAAACTTTCTCATAAATCAAAAGCTATTTTTGCTTTCTTTCTTTTTTTTTTTTTTTTTTTTTTTTTTTTTTTACTTCAAGTGTGTTCTTTTATCAAATCAATTATTATGGAACATGTGATTTACCTCATCCACCCCCATATGTGATTTACCTCATCCACCACCTAAGAAAACAGAGAGTTAAAGCAAAAGTAGAGATCCATATGAATCGAGGTAATAGGATTAGGTTCAAGGCTTCCTCCCCACGGTTTTGACTACCAACTATTTTAATTGCAACCTCTACAGTTGACCTCGTACTCTCCAAGATACCTGATTCTAGGATTAATCATCTATTCATTGATCCAAGGGTCTACATTGTCCGGCAAGAACAAGCTGTGATTTGACTTCTCTTAAGTACCTATAAATAGCCTAAACCAAGCTGTCTGATAGCACACAAACAGAAAGAGTTGAAATAAGAAGTGCCAACAATGGAGTCAAAAATGCATTTCCTAGAGAGACAGATGAAGAGCAACATGCAAAAGTTGTACTCATACGCATTATTGGGAATGCTTGCATATTTCACAGTGAGGTTATGCATACCAGGCCATCCATGGAAGATAGAGCAAATAATGAGAAATCAACTTCGGGATGCCTTTGTTACCTCGGCTGTTAAGTTTTTCAACTTCT